GCGATCTCGTGTCCTTCCTTCTCAGTGCGTCTTGACCTTAGCTCTGCTCACTCAGTTAAGGTGGTGTCTGCCTCTGTAAAGGTACCTTTTTTTACCTTGGTAGTTCCTAAGTAAATTTTAGGAATGTCCTTTGAGACTGTCTACGTACCCTGTTTTTACCAAAACTTTCACACTCTAATTTTAACACACTAATAAATTTAGCAATAAATATTTAAGGGGGAAAATTGTTGCCCAATTCCTTTGACTATTTCTAAGGACTTAATGAAAATAAAATAAAGTGGAGATCATGATGCTGCTTTACATTTAATGCAGAAGCATGCCATGCTCTACAGTGACCTGTCACCTTCACCAGCACGCCAAGAGATTGGGGCTTGAGCCACACGACAACTTTTATACAAAGTGTTTTTCCTCATAGAAAATAAATTTTAGGGGTCACAAAGTCACTAAGACAACATATTTTTTAATTCTTTGGGTAAAATGTCATTGAAACTTCAAATCCTTTGAAACTGAGAGATTGAACCAGAAAGATTTTCGTTTCCACTTTGAATGTATTGCAAGTGGTTGGTTTATCAACGGAGAGTTCATTTCTCGGGACGGTTGCTCTTTTCAGAAGAATACGACATTGAGGGAATGCCTTAGTGTTAGAGCGTTTTGACATTGTTATTGCTAGTTTTATGTAACTCTGAGAAAAAATATTTCCAACTTTTCAGCTCCTCTGAGAATTGGTAGGAGCCGGGCAAGGGGCTGTTCTTAGGCCCCATTAGGACTGAGATGAGTGAACACGTGGCCTGCGAGGGCAGCACACTGAGGTGTTAAGAGGCAGGATGATGAGGTTGCTCCTCAGAAGGACCTTCGAAATACTGACTTTTAAATTTTTATAGTTTTGCAGGAGAATGTCATCCATGAAGGTGTGTTTTTTTTTTCTTCACCTCTTAAAATAATCCTGTACTTTTTTTTCCCTGTCATTTTAATGGCAGGTATATTGGATTAAATCAACCTTATGCATAATGTTCTCACTACACAAAGAAATTTCATTTTTTAGTTGTGGTTGTATTTGTTTGAGTAGAAAATGTTTGTGTGTGACATAAAATTCAAAAGACAGGGCCGGCCCGCGGCGCACTCGGGAGAGTGCAGTGCTTGGGTGCGCAGTGGTGCTCCCGCCGCGGGTTCGGATCCCATATAGGGATGGCCGGTTTGCTCACTGGCTGAGCGCGGTGCTGACAACACCAAGTCAAGGGTTGCAATCCCCTTACCGGTCACAAAAAAAAAAAAAATTCAAAAGACAAAAAAGTGTGTGTCGAGTCCCCGACTCCTGCCCCGGCTCCTCCCCAGAAGCAGCCAGGATGGTGTTTAAGCTCAAAGCCAATCTTCTCAACATGTTTTTATCTCGTGGTGAAGAGATTCTGTTATGAAATGTAACTTTAGTTCATTTTATTTGTATGGAAAAATACCTAATGTGAGTTGCCAGGTGCATGTTTTTCAAATTAAATTGAACATTGAAGTAAATTGGCTGGCAACTGTCTTGGTGCTCAAACAAAATGCCAGAGTACTTGATTAGGAAAATATAGAATGATGTTATTAGACATCTATTAAATATCAAAGTTTTAAAGTGTGGAAGCTGCAGACTTCATCACTCCAAGGGAAATCACAAGTCACACGGTGAACCCAGCAGGACATTTGGAGGACGTTTGACAGTTTCGCGCAGCATGGCGACTGACCTGTGCTGGCATTTGGTAGTTCTTTGGGATGATTTTTCTTAACAGTTTAGGCCCATGCTACCTGTCATCTTTCTCACACGAGTCTCCTGCTCAGTTTGTGCCCGTCCTATATTCTTCCTTGTTGGCTTAAGATATTCTGTCTCTCCCACACCTATTTCTCTTTCACAGACCTAGCTTGAAATCTCTGCCCGTGGAGGAAGCCCTGGCCTCCTCTCTGTGCCCTCCTCTCTGTGCCCTTCTGCTGCCCTCGTCCCTCCAGGGCTCCTCCCGCCACCGTCAGCACCCAGCTTGCTGCTGTACTTCTGTCCTCTCCCTGAGAACCAAGAGTCCCAACAGCACAGTTTGCATGCTGAATAGTCATCTTTCTTTCAATATTGATTTGCCAAAAGTCAGTTTTGAGCACTTAGTAAGTACTCAAGTAAGTGATCGATATAACAAAAGAAACAGGTTATTTTCCCCCTTTTAGATCCCTCCCATTAACAAGGCTTGACTTATTTAGAAAACAGATTTATGTGTCATCATTTGAAAAGTTTATTTTTTCTGCCTGCCCTTTTGTTTGTACAGCTCACATCATGATTAGTCATGCTGAGTTTTGCCACTAAACGTGGACTCACTGGGGCAGCAACCCTCTCCTGCCTGCCTGGTGTGGCACTGGGCATGTAGTTCTGCTCCATACGTGTGTGCAAAGCCATGTATTTGCCATATACTTAGCACTATGCTCAGGAACATGGATTACCCAAAGGAAGTATAATTTGTGACCCCTGGCCTCAGGAAACTTACCACTTAGTGAAGAAAGAAGATGTATGTAATACATATGATATGTAATGTGAAATTAATGAGCAATAGGCGTTGTGTGATTGAATGTTAACTTGTGTGGTATAGACTAGAAACTCCGTAGCCATCCAGAGAGGATGACTAATGCGGGCTGTAGTGCTCATACTGAAGGCTGGCTTTGTGATAGCACTTGATGTAGTGGGACTTGCTGGGCGAGTGAAATTTTCATCAGCCGAGCAGTAGCAACACAGGACCATGTGGGAAGAACCCACCTTAGCTGGAGTCAAAGGCAAGCAAGAGTGTGAGAGATGGGACGGACTACCAAACCGAAGTGAAACGTTTTTTATTCATCTAAAACAACATGGGCACACTCTAAGTTTGGAATATGGCAACAGGAGACAAAAAGGAAAACACGGAAAAGAGAAGGAAACATTGACAGGCACTGGAGTTACTCCTGGACTCACCTGGTCAGGAAGCCACATCCCCATCACAGAATCAGGACCATTCCTAGCATAGCAGCCTCAGCTCCCCAGGTCTGTGCGGACAGTAAGCTTTGACTAGACTCCAGATGAGCCTTGAGTCTACAGTTCTTTCCATGGTACTCAGAAAAATGGAGAATGTCATCTTTTAGCTCAAATATGAATTCACAGTTGTGACAGTCAATCTATTACACACACACACACATAATTACTTAATGTTTAAAGAAATGTTAGTGAAAAATATGTTCAGGGTAGTTGTATTATATATTTTTCATCTTATAAAGCATTTAAATTTATGGCAAGAAGAGTTAAATAAATATTGGTTATTTTATTCATTTCCATTTAAATGTTCTCATCCCAAATTGAGGTAAAATGAACCATATTGCAATCTTATTTATCTAATCTATTGGCCCACATACATATCTAAAACATGCACACACACGCACACAGATGCACATGTGCAGACTGAATCATACACAAAATATTATCTAAACTAGGAACATTGTTTTAAAAAAAATTACCCCAGTGCTACACTTAGCTCAGTGATTTTTCTTCAAAAATATCTAAAAAGAACAAAAGATATTTTCATAGAAAAAACTTTTAGAATCTCTGAAAAAGAAAAAAGCCCTCCCTCCCACCACCACCCGTTTGAGAATGATGTCAGTTTCACCACCCAGGATTCTCGATTGTTTCTACAACTGACTGTGCGATCTCGATCAAGTAATTTTTAACCAGCATATTTGTAGAAAAATGACAATTGTTATTTAAGTTTTCTTTTTTAACAAAAATCATCTTAAAAATTTTATGGAGTTATTATCAGGTTGTATTTATTTTTACCTACAGCAGTGTATCATTATCCTAAATAATACCTTTTATGAGAATACCACAAGTTAACTGTTTGAGAGATTATTGGTAGGTTCCTGTCTACTCTTAGCGCAGCCGCGCTTCCCAAGCGGCGCACTAGCGCAGTGCGCCACCGGGCCGGCCCTAAGTTTTCATTTTTAACAAAAATCATCTTAAAAATTTTATGGAGTTATTATCGGGTTGTATTTATTTTTACCTACAGCAGTGTATCATTATCCTAAATAATACCTTTTATGAGAATACCACAAGTTAACTGTTTGAGAGATTATTGGTAGGTTCCTGTCTACTCTTTCTCAAGCCTACACCTTAACCAGTCTCCTAAATTTTAGACATCATTTGTGTTACGTATTAAATGATATATTATTTCAAGGCATTTGGTTTTAAATATCTCAGGGTTTTTTTTTTTAATAATTCTTAAGCTATTGTATATTTGCTTTTTGTTACCAAAAGCTACCAAAGAAACTAAAATGGCACCAACTGGCATGCTTGAAAGAATTAAGCTGATAGAGATTATCGTCAGTGTTTCTTATTTCTTCTGTTAAAGTGTTACAATTAATAAGTAGTACATCATATCATCATGTGAATTTCTATAACTTACTGGAAGTTAATGTATTTCAAATTAACCATTATTGGTTTTATCTGAATAGTATTCAGTTCAATTTTTTGGGTAATTCAGCTGGAGACTTAGACTTACTGCAGTATACAATTTTATAGTATGAATGCAGTATGGATATTATGGTAGAAAGAAATAAAAACACGCGTAGAGATCGTAGGAAAGAGTTACAAGAAATTCGGGAAATGTATGTGCTTCAATAAAAAGATCGTTTTGTCCTAGTTGATTTTATTGGGGGTAAATGTGCAACTGCTTAGTATTTAAGTCATATTACTATTTATGCTTCTCTGTGCTTCTGCTTATCAAGATAGTCACGAGACTAAACCTTCACATGTACCCAGCAGTTTGTTCCAGCACTGTCCTGCTGCAGTGGTTCATGGGGTCAGGTACAGTTGACTTCTCCAGCACACCTCGACCCTGCCTCCCCACCTGGCTCTTACGGTGGCTTTGCCTTGAGGCCTAGCGCTTCAGCTGGAGGGGGCTTGCGTGTGTCTATCCGAGGCGTACTTGACAGCTGAGCAAGTTGTGATAGCACGTGTCGCGCTGGAGCCCATGTCGGGACGGGACCCCGAGGTCTCCTGCTTCCTCTCCTCCGTCTCCTCGTTTTCCTTCAGTGTGCTTCAGACCTGCATTTGTACAGAGGAGTGTCATTACCTGTTAGGTTGAACCATAAGTCGCCAGCACTTGGCCACTTTTGAGCTATAATACGGCAGTTTCGTGGGTCCAAAGTTATAGATAGCGTGCCCCCTTCTGTCTCTTGTCAGAGTCCCTTAGGTCCCTGCCCCGGAAGACGGCTTTGCCGCGGCGTGGCGGGTGCTCGATGCAATGCGGCTGTGGGGACCGTCGCCAGCACGCCGCGGCGGCAAAGCCCTTCCTTCTCCCGCCTGCTCTCCGCTGCCTCCGGTCAGGTACACCTGCGCTCTCCGGTCAGGTACACCTGCTGCCCCCGGTCAGGTACACCTGCTCTCTCCGGTCAGGCACACCTGCTGCCTTCGGTCAGACACACCTGCACTCTCCGGTCAGGTACACCTGCTCTCTCTGGTCAGGCACACCTGCTGCCTTCGGTCAGACACACCTGCACTCTCCGGTCAGGTACACCTGTGGTCTCCGGTCAGGTACACCTGCTCTCTCTGGTCAGACACACCTGCTCTCTCTGGTCAGGCACACCTGCTGCCTTCGGTCAGACACACCTGCACTCTCCGGTCAGGTACACCTGCTCTCTCTGGTCAGGCACACCTGCTGCCTTCGGTCAGACACACCTGCTGCCTTCGGTCAGGCACACCTGCGCTCCCCGGTCAGGTACACCTGCGCTCCCCAGTCAGGTACACCTGCTGCCTTCGGTCAGGCACACCTGCGCTCCCCGGTCAGGTACACCTGCTCTCTCCGGTCAGGTACACCTGCTGTCTCCTGGCCGTGAGCTGAGACAAGGCAGAGTCCCCTCTCATGCCTGACCACAGCAGTGGCTGGGCTGGGGGGTGGCACCAGGACATCCCTAGTGCAACCCATGCCCACCCGCTCCCCACCCACTAGGCACCTGGCACATAACATGCTCAGTACATAACACGTTTGCTTATCTACAATTGTAACAACTAGAAACTCCAGCAGTCTGCTTGAAGGATTTTGCATGAAATCACCTGAAAAAATCACGGTGGGGGTGGGGTAAGCCGGAGGATGCTCTCAGAACCATTCTCTGAGGTAGTCCCACAGTAGGCCTGGTGTCATTCTGGAGGTTCTTTTTTGATTTTTTTTTTTTTTGTCTTTTGTCTTTTTCCGTGTCCGGCAACGGATCGCAACCCTCAGTGTTGCCCCCGTACCGGACCGGGGACTGGCAACGGGATTGCAACCCTCGGTGTTGCTCCCGCGCCTCACTCAGCCAGTGAGCAGGAACCGGTCTGTATGTGGGATCCGAACCCTCGGGCGGGAGCGCCGCCGCGCTTCCCAAGCGGTGCACTTATCCAGTGTGCCACCGGGCCGGCCCAGGAGGTTCTTTTTTGAAAAGAAAGAAAATAAAATAATACCGAAAATCTGATAATAGTTTTACACACAGTTATATAAGTGCAGTCGTGTCTGAGTAATGTTGGTGGTTAAGAGTGCAGACTTCGCAGTCCCTCTCGCCTCTGCCTCTTTCTATCTGTATAACCTCGGGTAAGTTAATTAGCATCTCTGTGCTCAGTGTTCTCAACTGTAAAATGGGAAGAATAATAAGTCCTGTCAAGGGAAGTTTCTTGGGGAATTATATATAATAATGCATCCAAAATGCTTGGCGCTGTGCCTGCACATGGTAAACACTCAGTAGATGTTAGGTGTCATCCTAGTTACCCTTTAACACATTTATATATGTATGGGTGCTGCCTTTTAGGTGATGCCAATGCTGAAACTTTGAGAACTTCATTTAGGGCTTTCGCTCTCACATAGGTGTGTGCCAGGAGCGAGCACAAGCTCAGCCACTTACTCAGGGCATGGTGAGACACCACCACCACCACCAGGGAAGCAGCACAGCTCTTCCTGTCCCTGCTAAACTCCTGAGATCAACAGGGCCCTGAGGAAGGAGTGTGAGCCACTGGGAGAGGGGAGGCAGCCACAGCTGCCCACTCTCAGATGCCTCCACCATGCCACCCACAGGTGCCCCGTTTGACTTGGCCCAAGACTAAGCCTGGCTCTGAATAAAGGGTGGGGCTGTGGTGTTTGCAGGGCACTCTCTCCACCTTTGGTAGCTTTTCAAGGCTTAGTGTTGTGTGAGAAGAGTAAAAAATGCTATATTCTGCAGAAAACATTTGGATATGTATTAAATTCTACAGTTAAGATAAACATATAAAGAAAAACCAATTGAGCTTTCAAAATGCAGAACCTATCAAAACAGCTTTCTATTCCTCACTGTTCATCTTTTTTGGTGATGTTGGTAAGTTGGTCTGACACTGGGGGAGGTGATGCTAATGCTCAGGTAGCACTCCATGCCAGGATGGCCTGGCTGTGTGCTCACAGCAGTGTCACAGGTGGCCACCCTTGCTGTCGTTGTTTCTCACATGAGCAGACAGAAGCACCGAGAGGGCAGTTGCTTGCCCAGGGTCACAGTGCTGCAGAGTAGATGTTCAGGATCCAAGCCCGGGCAGGCTGCGTCCTGCTGCACAACCCCTCTGTGCTCAGGAATCAATGGCCCATGTTCCCCGCTGAGTCCAGTCGCTTCACCACCCATCGTTTTGATTTTTTTTTCCTTTTTGTCTTTTTTCGTGTCCAGCAACGGATCGCAACCCTCAGTGTCGTGCCCGTACCGGACCGGGACCGGCAACGGAATCGCAACCTTCGGTGTTGCGGCCGCACCTCGCTCAGCCAGTGAGCGGCCGGTCTGTATGTGGGATCCGAACCCTCAGCGGGAGCGCCGCCACGCTTCCTAAGCGGCGCACTACAGCAGTGCGCCACCGGGCCGGCCCCCATCGTTTTGATTTTTGTTTCAACAGTCTGAGTGTTGTCTTGACTACACAAGCAGTCCATCAAGGTGGGTGGGTCCCCCAGCCAGGCCATCTTCAGTTCCACCTCTGCTGGACCACAGCTCTTCCCACAGCAGACACAGGCTGAGCGGCCGTAGCCCGGGAGAGCCCAAGGTGCGGCAGAGAGTTCCACTGACTTGTGACTTCTTTCTCATTCTTCATTCACTGGAGACAAACTCCTGCCTTGAAAGAGCTACTCTGTGGCACTTCCCTTTTTTTTTTTAAATTGATTATATATATTCAGGGGGTACAAAGCTCTCACGACCTGTGCCCAGGATGTGATGGTCAGATCTGTAGTATCAGGATGCCCACTACCAAAAATTGTGTTTATTCCCCATGTCCCCCACCCAATTAATCCCCAACCTCCCTCCTCCTCTCCCCCTCCTCCCTGGCAATCCTAGGTCTGCTCTCTCCCTCTGCAGGTCCAATGCACCACTGTGGTCTTTCTTTCCTTCCTTCTTTCTCTCTTAGCTCCCACTTATGAGTAAGGACATGCGCCATTTTTCCCTCTGTGCCTGGCTTATTTCACTTAACATAATTTTCTCCAAGCTCATCCATGTTGCTGCAAAGGGCAGAATTTCATTCTTTTTTATGGCTGAGTAGTATTCTATTGTTTATACATACCACATCTTCCTCATCCAGTCATCCACTGATGGACATTTTGGTTGGTTTCATATCTTGGCTATTGCAAATAGAGCTGTGATGAACATGGGAGTGCAGGTATCCCTTCAACATGATGATTTCCATTCCTTTGGGTGTATAACTAGAAGTGGGATTGCTGGATCATGGGGTAGCTCTATCTGTAGTTATTTGAGAAACCACCATACTGTTTTTCATAGTACTTGTACTAATTTACATTCCCACCAACAGTGTAGGAGAATTCCCTTCTTTCTGCATCCTTGCCAGCATTTGTTATTCTCTGTCTTTTTTATTATAGGCAGTCTGACTGGGGTGAGATGATATCTCAATGTGGTTTTAATTTGCACTTCCCTGATAATTAGTGATGTTGAGAATTTTTTCATGTACCTGTTAGCCATTTGTATGTCTTCCTTCGAATAATATCTATTCAGCTCCTTTGTCCATTTTTTAACTGGGTTATTGGTGTTTTTACTGTATACGTGCTTGAGTTCCTTATATATTCTGGATATCGATCCCTTGTTGGATGCGTAGTTTGCAAATATTTTCTCCCACTCTGTAGGTTGTCATTTTACTCTGTTGATTGTTTCCTTTGCTGTGCAGAAGCTTTTTAGTTTGATATAATCCCATTTATTTATTTTGTTCTTTTGTTGCTTGTGCTTTGGGGCTCTTGTTCGTAAAGTCTTAATAAGCAATTCTGGAGGGACCTGATTAAAACACTTTATTCTAGGGGCCTGGGAACCAACTGCAGGCATTGGCTGTGCCTGTGGGTGAGAGGGCGGCCAGGCTGGTTTGGCTGCAAGCCCCACCCCTTGTCCATGCTTACATAAGCTTTCATTTACAAATGTACTTCTAAACCACTGGGTAGTCATTAAATACTTAGGTATGTAACATTTCCTGCTCTGAGGTTTTACGTGGATTATTTCATTTAATACAGACACAGACACACACATGCACACACACACCTGTGAAGTAGCTCAGGTGGAGTAACTGGCCCACATCACACAACTTATGCCGAGGAGCTGGTACTTGTCACCAGAGCCCATTGCTCTACACTACAATGTCAAAGGCTCTATCCACACTCGAAAGGTAGTCTAAGTCTGTATCAGACTAGAAATGAAGAGGGGACAGTGAGAATTACTGTAAACAACAAGGGAAGAGGCAGAAATGTAAAACACATCCATCAGAACTCCAAAAGCAAATCTTAGAGGCATTTAGTGTGAGGGATGAATCTCCTGCAGTGTCACCGTCTACAAAACAAATACAGTAACTGATGCTTATGATCTAGATCCTGGGTCCTCAAGAAAAGAGAAGTGAACTTCTCATTTTTTTTAACAAGGCAGGGGTGTATGGAATGCTTCATACAGATTTCTGTCCAAGGGTTGATATGAAAAAAAAGTTTTATTGCTGAAAGAATTAAACCCATGGGTATCAAGAAATATTTGATTTGGATTGATAGGCTTTCTGGAATCTCATTAACCAAGATGTCTGTTTGCCTAGAGTCTAACTGTGATAGCGGAAGCCTAGAGTCATCTCTGGATGGTAGTGATTTCTAATCTATTCTCCCACTGTCATTATTCAGTGTTTCCCCACTGATGCCTAAAAATCAGGACCCTCCATTTCTGGAGTCTCCCTCTGCTAGGTAAGACCTGGCAAGTTTTCCGGTGCAAATCCAGCTCGTGTTTCCCCTTCTGACAGGCAGCTATCCATGCTGCTCTTTTGCTTTCTCGAGCCACTCTTGTTCTGATTATACACAATGTTTTTGTAGATAACAACCAGATTTCAATTTGTTCATTAGAAAAAAAATTCCATACTCTGGGGAACAGAATTTTTTTATGTAAAGAGTGTGCTAATAAAAGGAGTTTTCGAACTTATAAAAGCATAACATTTTCTGATGTGTAGAATAAGAAGTAACTCCTATCATAAGAATTTGAAACTTAGAAATACTACAATCGTCTCTTCCTTCTTGGGCTTGTCAAAACCTTTAAAATTATTCTGTTAAAGATGCACTTCGATTCATCACTAAGATGAATCCATGCTGCGTGTTTTTTCACTTGTCAGACTTCTCTGCCCTTCATGCTACTTGTCATGTGTGTGTATCAGGAGATCACCCACGAATGGAACCAAAACAATAAATAAGTGACAGAAGCAGGAAGTTTGTAGTGGCAAGATAAAAAGCCGTTTCACTTTTCCTCGATGTTAGGAATCGGAAGGAAAAATACATTTTTTACCACTCTTTTATCTTTTGGTTCCCTTTTAAAAAATAGATT